ACGCCCATCTGTAATGCATGTGGCTTTCAACCAACGCCCCACTTAGCCATGGAAAATCCGCGTCCACTCAGTGCTGTGTGGTTCCAGCTGGGGAGAAGGGAGCCCCTGGAATCTGCTGTTGCATTGTGCCATTCAGGCCTCCCCCAGCGGCAGTGCATTTAGGGGCACACAGATCTCCAGGAGCTGGTTAAAGCGTGTAGGCAGGGTTTTTAGCATTTACAAAAGCGTTGCCGAAGCCTGAGAGAGCGCCTTACAAGACTGGTACAGCTTCTTCCCTGAGACACGTGCTGTGTTCTGAGAGGAGAGATTCCCCAGGGACGTGTGGGGTGTGTGATGGTGGGGACCTGAGGGCTGTGCTGGGCTGGTCACGTAGAGCCCACGCTTCTGGAAGGGTCTGTTGGTGCTCAGAGGCCTTAGAATGGGATGTCCAGACCAGGGCTGTGCCTGACCCACACAATTGGTATTAAGAGTAATTTGGGGGCTGGGTTATCAGAAACTCTGGGGGAGGGTGGGAGCAGCCAGAGGGGGAGGAGGCGGGCAAGGGAGAAGGAAGAGAAGGTGAGTGGGACTCCACCTCCCTGCTTTGGAGAGTCCATACTGACCCTCAGAGCCCTCTCTGGATGCCTCTGATTGATGCCACAGCCCTGGAAGGGCGGGCCATGCTGGTCATGTGGGTGGTGCTGCACTGGCTTGCTGGAGCTCCCCAGATGCGCCTGCTGTGCCTTCCTGCCACTGCCCTGGGAGCAGGTCTCTCCCAGCTCCTCCCTGTCCTAGGCTGAGGTGCTGCTGTTCCTCCTTGCTCACCTGCTCCTCTCGCCTTAGGGCCCACTCACAGCCCAGGGGGCGCCTCTGCAGGCCAGCTCCAGCCATCCAGTTCACACGCGGAACCTCGAGGCTCTGCTCACGCACTCCACAGAGGGGAAACTGGACCCAAATGCAAGTCTGAACACACTCCAGGGAAACATTTCACAGGCAGCAAATCCAAGAGTGACCTAGAGAATCGCACCGGCTGGCGTCCATTGCCTCCTTCAGTACACGCTGCGCAGGTTAGCTTTGCGGAATCCGAAGGTCCCCAAGGCAGACAGCCGTCTAAGTGTCTTTGTTTCTTGTGGAGAGGAAGGTTGGTTGTTCCTGGTTTGTTGATGAAATGCTCACCATGACACGTGATCTGCTCTGGTCCTTAGTTTTGATGGGTGGTATTTTACCTCCAAAGGTGTCCTTCGTTAGATGAGACAGACTTATTTCCAAAGTTGAAGCTCCTTAGAGAACCAAGTAGCAGGTGGGGTTATATTCGGCACACTTACCATCTACTGGGAAGCGAGGAGGGAGAGATTTCCAAATGATAGTATTGGTGTGAGGGTGAGGTGTGGATGTGAGGTGTCCCCCAAAAGCTCACGTGTAAGGCAGGAAGGTTCAGAGGAGACATGACCGGGTTGTGAGAGTCTAACCCAATCAGTGAATTGATTCCCTGGGATGAACTGAGTGGTGACTGAAGGGGTTGTGGCTGGAGGGGGTGGGAGCTGGGGCGTGGCTCTGGGTGTACATTTGTGTCTGGCAAGTGAGTCTCTGTTTCCTGATCACCATGATGTGGGCTGCTTCCCTCGTCCCATTCTCCCGCCATGATGCTCAGCCTCACCTCGAGCCTGAGGAATGGAGCCAGCCTTCTACAGACTAAGACTATGAGCCCCCACATAAACTCTTCTTCCTCTGTAATTGTGTCGATCGGGTCATTTAGTCAAAGCAGCCAAACAGCTGACTCAGTCTGGAACCCACAAGACCTCATTTTTAAAAAACAAACTTTAAAGAATAGTTTTTCATTTAAGGAAATCTGCATTGATGTCCGGAGTTCCACATACCCTGCACCCCAAGTGGCCCGTCGTCGAGGCCGTGCGGTGGTGTGGCACCTGTGACAAGTCAGCAGGCTCACACTGCCCATTATTGACCCAGAGCCTTTCATTGGTCAGAGCTCCTTGGGTTTCATCTAATGTCCTTCTGCTGCTCAGGAGTCCATCCAGGACGCACATCAAGCTTGGTTGTCCTGTCCACGTGGTTTCCTCTCAGCTGGATAGCTTTTAGACCTTCCTTGTTTTTGATGAGCAGAGCAATTCTGAGGATGATTAGTCAGGTGTTTGGAGAAGACCTCCCACTGGGACCTGATTTCTTCCTCCTGATTGGACTGTGCTCGTGGGTTTCACGGAGGAGGCCCACAGAGGTCCAGCAGTTCTCGTGGGATGGCGTCAGAGCCTGCAGTCCAGGTGAGTTCCTGTTCATGTGGGCCTTGCTCACCTGCCCGAGGAAGTGTTGCCGGGCTTCCTTCCCTCGAGTGCCTTGGTCCCTGCCCCCTGTGCTCCTCAGACGAAGTTGTCATGTGCAGCCCCACCTGTGTGGTGGGGATCATGTGCCAGCAGTATGATCTCTGGATCTCTTTGTGTTCATTTTGTGAATACATAGAGTCTGTGTCTAGTTTGAGGGTGTGGGGTTTTTTTTTTTTTTTCTGTTTTTTGGTACTAGGGATTGAACCAGGAGCCCGTAACCCCTGAGCCACATCGCCAGCCATTTTTCATATTTTATTTAGAGATAGGGTCTCACTGAGTTGCTGAGGCTGACTTTGAACTTACAATCTGCCTGCCTCAGCTTCCAGAGGGCTGGCATTTCCACGTCTGGTTTTTCCTGTTATAAATTCCAACTGCCCCGGCCCCATTTGTTCACAAGACCCGTTCTTCTCCATCCAGCTCCTTTTTGCTCTGTCAAACCAGCTGACTCTATTTGTGCTGTCATATTCGTTTGACTTTGAAGGCGTACTTTGAAGTGATTCCTAAGAACATTACTTGACTTTCATCTTATTTCCCCTGGTGTATGATTTAATTTTAGCGAAATATTTTTCTCTACATGAGAATTCAAAACAAAAAAACTTCCATCTCCATTTCTTCTTCCAAAGTTTAGATGTCTTGAACCTCAGAAGCCTCCACTTGAGCAGTAAGGTCTGTCCCTCAGAAAACTGAGGTGTGGGAGGATGGCAGGGGTCCATAGCTGGGGAGTGGCAGGGAGGCGTGGGACTCCAGCCAGGCCCCGGCCTGTGTAGGCAGAGCTTCTGACTTTTCAGATCTCTCCTCAGTCACTCTCATTCACAGGTACACAGACTTCTCAGGTGACAGTAAAAGTGGTGTCATCCACAAGCTGACCAGGAAAGGAACCCAGGGGAAGTCACTCCTAGGAGTCAGGCTGTTTGGAGCCTGCTGCTAATGAGGTACACTCCTGGCTTCTTACCTCCCTGGAGACAAGTAGCTTATTTTTGATCTGTAGCCAAAGTGCAGCTATAAAACCTTTTACAAGCTTGGAGACTTTGTTTCAGGTCACAAAATGAGCCGGGTGAGGCGTTAGGTGTTCAATCCATTGCTGTTACTGGGAGAAGACCTCCCTGGGTATCTGAGGACACTGAGCCCAGATGATCACTTGCATACCAGAAAAGGAAGAGCACACCTAAGCCCACATTGACATTATGTCAGGTGGCATTATGTTTGTTCAAAGGTAAAGGGAGAGATGAAGTGTCAGGTCTCGCCAGCACCTGCACTGAGGAGATGAGCTGGGTTCAGAAGAGCTGGCTGCAACATTAAGATAAGAAAACAAGGAAGAAATCACGCAACACACGGACTTGAGTTTCTCAGGTTGAGAGTAGGACGGCTCTGTGACCTTAAGGGTCAGCTTCCAGGCTGGACAGTGCTGGAAAGAGAGCGTGCACCTGGAATCTCTTTATTTTATAGGGGGGACACACAAAGGAGCTTCGATGGAATGTTCTTCACCAAATAAGGCAGGGGATAGGGTTCCAAAGGGGGGTTGTCCAATCCCATTGGGTCACGCCCAAGTCCAGGGCTAGAGCAAACTTCTTTGCTGAGTGAAGGTGGAGGCCACTTGCCTGGCACAGCGCGAGGTGTGTGATGCCAGACCAACATCCCCTTACTCAAGGCTGAGGGAGGATGCTCAGCCTGTGGGCAGGGCGGCCTCCCACTTCAACGGGTCACTCAGTGAATGGAGGGAGGGGTCACCGGTGTTCTGTATATCCTGATGCATGACAGTTGTCACACGGACGAGTGACTCTTCCCCCCCTTTAGGCCTGTGCTAAATGGCCTGGTCACGTCTCCCATGCATCACCCAGAGCAACAAACATGACCTTGCACAGGAGGGCCGGGCAGAGGGCTTTTCTGTGTTCAGATCCCTTCTCACGCTCATCTCGCCAGTTCTTTAAAAATCATATTTGATTCCTTGAAAAATGTCCTTGTTGAAGTCACAATGATTAATTATGAAAGCCATCACTCTACTGTGTGCCTAATACTGTCCTAAGCATTGTAATACTCACTATTCTCTTGCAGTTCTCACAATGACTCTCTGGAGGAGGTGACAGTATTATCTTAATTTTGTAATCACTAAACGAAAAAGCAGAAGACCCATACAGCCCCGTGCCTCATGTTAAAACCTGTTCTGATTTGCACTACAGCATCCCAGTCAAAGCTCTGACGGCAGCTGGCTGTCCCGAGATTGAGTCGACTCCTAAATCACAGTAAGGTAAGGATTGTAGCCAGTGTTTGCTTTATCTGTATAGAAGAAGCTCGGAGAAAGCAAACCCAATGGTAGGTTTTCTTGGTGTTACAGACTGTTGGGAACAGGAGCAGGGGTAAGCACAGGGTGGCTCCTGCCTGGAGTCCTCTGTGGGTGTACCTTCAACATCTACCTGGTGAGAAGACAGAGCTGGTCTGCGGGTGTCAACTGTGTATCAGACAGAGGGGACTCTGTCCAGGGGATGTTGCTGGGAGAGCAGAAACCCAACGTGTAGCAGCTGAGAACCCACAGATGGGATTCCCCCGGTGATGGCCTGTCCAGGCAAGTTTACAAAGTAACCAGGTGGTGATCATACTGAGCACTGTTTTTGGTCAGTTCCACAGGCATTTATTTATTTACTTATCTATTCATCTATCTATCTATTTATTTATTTTTCAGTTGTAGATGGACACAATACCTTTATTTATTTATTTATTTATTTTTATGTGGTGCCAGGGATCAAACTCAGTGCCTCACGTATGCTTGGTAAATGCTCTACCACTGAGCCACAACCGCAGTCCCTTTATTTTCTTTTTTTAAGTCTCCTAAAATTACACATATTTCTTCTGAGTCTTTCATAATCTCAAATGTTGGGCAGCACAGATTGAAAAATAAATTCTATGCATTTAAGCTGCATTGACGATTCATATCTTGTGGTCTAGGCCAGGAAAAAACAGAAAACATTTTAGTGACCAAAATAGCTCTGTCGGGCTTTACATGTCCCTTTAACCCAGACTTTACCTACATGAAAACATTTTAGTAAAAATGTGGATGTGTAAGCGATGTGATTCTGCAATTTGTATTTGGGGTAAAAATGGGAGTTCATAACCCACTTGAATCAAATGTATGAAAGATGATATGTCAATAAAAATAAATAAATAAATAAATAAATAAAAAGAGAGAATGGCTGAACTCTCTGGAACACAGTGCAGAAAAAAGAACTCTGATTGGTTAATTTTGATAATTCTCTTTTATTTTTATTTTTATTGATGCATTACAATTACACGTAACAGTTTGCTTTGTTGTTATATAATCAATCCTACATGCACACAACATAGCAGTATTATTTGCTTAATTTCATTTCTCAGTACAAATAACAGAACATTTATGATTCTTTGATATAAAATAGAAGGTGATTATTTTTTTAAAAAGGCCTTTTGTATTCACATAGTCTTATCAGTTACTGTATGGCAAGATACCTAAAGGAGTTGTTGAATGTGAAATTTGATCTCCAAAAAGTGTAAAAAGAAAGAAAAAGTCTGTGTTTTCTGTGTTAGAAAGCAAGAATATATACTTAACAAAACACCATAAAACGGTTAAAAAAATTAAGCAACAATCTGGGAGAACATACTTGTAACTTGTATAGCTAAGAATTACTGTTCTGAATATATGTTTAGAATTTCTACAAAACACCAAGAAAGCATAAAACCCCTCCCTCCCATTATTGTATGTAAAATAAAAATATTAGTGTTAAACTTGGAAAAAAAAAAGAAAAAAGAAAACATTTTAGTGACCAAAATAGCTCTGTCGGGCTTTACATGTCCCTTTAACCCAGACTACCTACATGTGTCTCTCGCAGGTGGATAGGCCGTGTACATAGATGCAGCCCTGTGATCAAAAACGAGGGCTCTGGGGTCAGCCTTGCTCAGTTCATGACAGCTCTACCACTCACCTGGCCACAGACACTTATCTGACCTCAGGAACCTCCCTTGCCCGTTTGTGAAGAGTGGACATTAATAGTACTTGTTTTGGTGGGCACAGCAGTGGATGCCTGTAATCCCAGCAGCTCGGGAGGCTGGGACAGGAGGATCGCAAGTTCAAAGCCAGCCTCAGCAACTTGGCAAGGCCCTAAGCAACTTAGCGAGACCCTGTCTCAGTGATTAAGTGCCCCTGGGTTCAATCCCTGGTACCAAAAACC